CAAATGCATCTGATTGGTTAATCAGATATATCAAATGCCTCTGATTGGTTAATCAGATATATCAAATGCATCTGATTGGTTAATCAGATATATCAAATGCATCTGATTGGTTAATCAGATATATCAAATGCATCTGATTGGTTAATCAGATATATCAAATGCCTCTGATTGGTTAATCAGATATATCAAATGCATCTGATTGGTTAATCAGATATATCAAATGCCTCTGATTGGTTAATCAGATATATCAAATGCATCTGATTGGTTAATCAGATATATCAAATGCCTCTGATTGGTTAATCAGATATATCAAATGCCTCTGATTGGTTAATCAGATATATCAAATGCATCTGATTGGTTAATCAGATATATCAAATGCCTCTGATTGGTTAATCAGATATATCAAATGCATCTGATTGGTTAATCAGATATATCAAATGCATCTGATTGGTTAATCAGATATATCAAATGCGTCTGATTGGTTAATCAGATATATCAAACGCATCTGATTGGTTAATCAGATATATCAAATGCATCTGATTGGTTAATCAGATATATCAAACACATCTGATTGGTTAATCAGATATATCAAATGCATCTGATTGGTTAATCAGATATATCAAATGCATCTGATTGGTTAATCAGATATATCAAATGCATCTGATTGGTTAATCAGATATATCAAATGCATCTGATTGGTTAATCAGATATATCAAATGCACCTGATTGGTTAATCAGATATATCAAATGCATCTGATTGGTTAATCAGATATATCAAATGCATCTGATTGGTTAATCAGATATATCAAATGCATCTGATTGGTTAATCAGATATATCAAATGCCTCTGATTGGTTAATCAGATATATCAAATGCATCTGATTGGTTAATCAGATATATCAAATGCATCTGATTGGTTAATCAGATATATCAAATGCATCTGATTGGTTAATCAGATATATCAAATGCATCTGATTGGTTAATCAGATATATCAAATGCATCTGATTGGTTAATCAGATATATCAAATGCCTCTGATTGGTTAATCAGATATATCAA